TCGGACTGGGCACGATATGACAAAATAATAATTTATAAATTATCAAGAGTTCACAAGGGAGGGGGAGCGGGGAGGGAGGGGGGAAAATGAGGAGCTGATGCCAGGGACTTAAGTGGAGAGAAAATGTTTTGAGAATGACGAGGGCAATGAATGCACAAATGTGCTTTACGCAATTGATGTGTGTATGGACTGTGATAAGAGTGGTCTGAGCCGCCAATAAAACGATAAAAAACGAATGTAGAACAGCTAAAGTGACGGGAAGAAGCGATGAAATAAAAGAGATGAACAAACAAAAAATCCAGGGCAATTAGAAAAGACAAAGCAAAGTGTTAAAAATGAAAGGTGTAAAGATATGAGGTAGACCAGCCTGGGTGACCACGAGGTATTGATGGGATCAAGTACCTGGCATCCGAAGATCCAAAACAAACAATCACGTTGATCTGAATAAGGAGGGTCAGAGTGGAGACCAAAGCCCATCTCTAGACAATTGGACATCCCCTCACAGAAGGGTCACAAGCCAGGAACGAGTCAGCCAGGCTGCAGCACAGCGTGGAACATACAACATCCCTCAGTTCTTTAGTGCTTCCTCCCCGCCACTATCATGACCCCAGTTCTACTTACAAATCCGACTAGACTGGAGCATGCACACCGGTACAGATAAGAGCGCTCGACACACTGAATCCAGGACAGAGGACCCTCTCAGGAACAGTAATGGGAGTAGTGATACCATGAGTGTTGGGGGAAGATGGGGGGAGAAGGGGCAGAAACGGGGGCCTAACTACAATGATTGACATATAACACCCCCATCCCCAGGGGGATGAACAACAGTAACGTGGGGGAAGGGAGACAGCAGGCGGTGTAAGATATGAAAACAATAATAATTTATTGGGGGTCCACAAGGGTGGGAGGGTTGGGGAGGGAGGCACAAAAGAGGAGCTGATACCAAGGGCTCAAGTAGAAAGAAAATGCTCTGAAAATGTGATGGCAGCGTATGCACAAATGCGATCTATACAATTGATGTATGGATTGCTATGAGCTGCAAGAGCCCTCGATAAAATTATTTTTTAAAGTAATTAAAAATTAAAAATTTTAAAATCTGGGTTAGGAAACTATAAGGAAAAGGCATGCTTGGCCTTCCCCAAACTGAAGGAACTAAAGAAAAAAGCCAAGCTTTAAATTGCAATATTGAGAGAGTCTATGGGCAAAATATTAAATGACCCAGAAAGCATCAAAAGAAGGTGGAAGGAATGCAGAATCATTGTACCAAAAAGATTTTGTTGCCAGGAGGGGAAGGGGAAGGTGGGGGGAGAAAAGGGGAACCGATCACAAGGATCTACATATAACCCCCTCCCAGGGGGACGGACAACAGAAAAGTGGGTAAAGGGAGACATCGGTCAGTGTAAGACATGAAAAAAAAAAAAAAAAAATTATCAAGTGTTCGTGAGGGTGGGAGGGAGGTGGAGGGACGGGAAAAGAATGAGGAGCTGATACCAAAGGCGCAAGTAGAAAGAAATGTTTTGAAAATGATGATGACAACAGATGTACAAATGTGCTTGACACCATGGATGGATGTATGGATTGTGATACCTGTACAAGCCCCCGATAAAATGATTTTAAAAAAAGAGTTTGTTGATATGCGTTTCAGGAGGTAGCATCTAATCAAGAACACAGCATAGAAAGAAGGAGTTCCATCTTCACGGGTAGCACTGGCCCCAAACCAAGGTTCCAGGAATTGGAACTTGAAATGTTTCAAAAGGGTGCTGCACTGGGAGCACCCACCAGTCTATGCCAAGAGACGGGAGACAACTACCTGGCCAACTGACCGGAAGAGATCCAGGTGTGTGCCCATCCCAAAGAAAGCTGACCCAACAGAATGAGATTATAGAACAGTATCACCAATATCACACGCATGTGAAACCTTGCTGAAGATCATTTTAAACTGGCTGGGGCAGGACCTCGGCAGGGAGCTATCCGAATTCAGGTGGGATTCAGATGAAGGGCTGGAACGTGGGCTACCATGGGTGACCTCAATGGATCTTGGCCGATGGCAAAGAATACCAGAAAGATGTTTGCTTGTGTTCTGTTGACGACGCAGTGGCATTGAACTGTGTGGATCAGGACAAAGTATAGATAGCACCGCAAAGAAGGGGGACACTAAATTGTGCACATGCCGAACCTGAACTTAAGCCAAGGGGCGGTTGTTTGAACGGAACACGGGGATACTGGTGTAGGGTTTTCACTAAAGCAAAGTGTGTGTCAGGGTTGCAGCTTTTTTTGTTTTTAATCATTTTATTGGGGGCTCGTACAACTCTTATCACAATCCATCCATCCATTGTGTGGAGCACATTTGTACATCTGTTGCCATCCTCTTTCTCAAAACATTTTCTTTCTACTTGAGCCCTTGGTATCAGCTCCTCGTTTCCCCCCTCCCTCCCTGTCCCCCTCCCTCACGAACCCTTGATAATCTATAAATTATTATGTTGTCATGTCTCACGCTGTCCGACGTCTCCCTTCGCCCACTTTTCTGTATCTGTTCACCGTACTTATTCCATCTGTATGCGGAGCAAATAATTGGAGAAGCTGGACTCTGTAAAGAACAGGGCATCAGGATTGGGGACTGAGTTAGTTAATTGTGCCAGCCTGGCCGATCATCACATGTGGGGCTAATTGAAAGGCGGGAGGGATAAATGGGTGGTGAGCCTCGCCTTTCTAGTTCTCGGGTCTCTTGCTTTGTGATGGTCGCACC